CCAGGCCGCCGGCGCCGGCGCGGGCAGCGGAGACGGCAGCGGCAACGGCAACGGCAACGGCAACGGCAACGGCACTGCTCCCAACGCCGCTGCTGGCACAAACGCTGGCACAAACGCTGGCACAAGCGCCGGCAAGACTGGAAGCACTGGAAGCACTGGAAGCACTGGCGCTGCTGCTGGCAACGCTGCCGGCGCCGGCAACGCCGCCAAGAAGGCTGGAAACGGCGGCGGCAGGGGCAACAAGAACAACAACAACAACAACAACGCCGACGACGAGGAGGAGAACGAAAACGACAAGCGCAGCATGGAGGGCGGCGCCTTTGTCAAGCGCATCGACGAAAAGACCCGTGCCGTCGAGTTCACCGCATAAGCACGCGGCTCGGTCACACAGCCAGGGGACAACATGTATAAACCAAGGGGGCACGTAATATAATGAGACTGCAGTGCAGTATCAGGGGGGAACTGCGATCTGGTATCCATTTCTAGCTCAGGTGTTGCTTGGCAAGTATTTGGCTGTTTTTGTAGTGGATTTTTACTTTCCTTTTTCTTCAATTCATCTCGCTGATTTACTACTCTGCGCCGTCCCACAACAAAACTCGGTGATGTCTGCATCTCGTGATGTGAGGTTTAGGAGCGGAGGCCGTTGAGAGTGGGCGTCATGCCGCCTTGCCAAGGTGAACAACTAATTTTAGCAATATTCAACCATGATCCACGCGGACATCAGGTTCGTATCCATATCCTCCTCGGCGGAAGCCGGATATCCTGGACCGGGGGCCCGTGGCGCAGGCTGCGACGCGGGTGAGACAATGGCAGGCCCTCGGGTTCGTGTCGCTTCGGGAGGCTCCCTTGCCTCAAGTTCGTTCTCTATGTTGCGGGAATGATAATCACACAATGTTTCAATAGCGGCTTTATTATAGACGGCGTTATGAGGATCTGGCAAGAGGCATGTTTATTGGCGCCTGCGGTCTTTCTGACACATGATAACTATTAGTGCAAGACTAGAATTTTTAAAAAATGTTGGTACTTTTATTACACAAGGGGGAAAATAATTCTCCCGTCTAATTATCCAATCTTGATTTATCTTGATTCATTCTAAATTAAGAAATCCATCGGGGTCATTACATCTTTCATCGCGTCTCTAGCCGCAGTAAGCTGCTGCGCCTCGACCGTTTCAGGCTTGCTTGCCCCTTCAAAATTCGAATCCCCACGTCATGTACGTAGTACAAAACAGTTCTAAACTACTAACAAAGATCCCGCGGTGCGGAAAATCGTTTTGCAAATCCCTCACAAACGACTTGGCTTCGGTGGCGGGCGAGTCCGGTTGACAGCGGTAGGGTTGCGTCGCAGATGGCCTTTCGAATAGAGTAGCATGTTCTCGCACTGCCAACGCTTTATCTCACCACATCTTCATGTATATACAATGCCTTTTTGCAATTGCGTAGTGTGCTGGTTGTCTGCCGCCTGGTCCATTAGACAGCTTGGACCAGAGGAATTTCATCTAGATGGCCACCCGAACCTAGCGCATGCCGCGTGAAGCATCATGACCATATAATTCCCCCAACAAAAGGAACTCTTTCATAATAAAAAGGACGAGTGCGTGTCATAATACTCAAGCACTTCACGCGGGGACCATGTCCTCCACAGCTGAACACTGACATGGATTCAATGGCTCAACTACATAACTACGAATACCAGACAAAGGCCTTCCAAGAGCGGTAATTGACGTCTTTTTGAAGATTCAAACGATTTGATATACCCGCTAGAAAATTAGGGCCCTCAATATTTGGTCAATGCCAAGATGCAAGACGAAATCAACGACACCGCTTGCACCAAAAGACCGTTGAGCAGCCGGACTCAAGGACAGTCGATAAATAGCCAGTATATGCTCCTCTTGGTCCAATATCTGCGCTCCGATACGACAGATGAACAAAAGACGCGCGCGAAATGTCTCCTTCCGCATAAACGCCATTCCCCCCGTCATCGCGCGCAGCCTGGCCGGCCACATGCCGCGCTCACCATGACCTGGCGCAATACTCGGAGCAAATACAACTCGGTTCGAGGCATCTGATGTACTTTTCATGCTTGGGGCATGCTATAACGGCGAGCGGGCTGCAGATGCAGCCAACTTCGCAAGCCTTCAACATGGGCACAGCACGCCTTCAGACCAACGATTAGCACATTGTCGGCCGCCGTCGTATCGGAGGGGCAGCACACTTACGCCTCTGGGCAGCATACCTGGAGCCCGATCTGGCCTTCAGCAATCTCTGATCTAGCGCTGTGCCCTCGAGCATTGCCCAAGCTGACGATGGAAGAGATGGCGAGGAGCAGCGCAAGGTGCGCCATGATGTGAGTCGCGTTGAGGAGTTGTGGAAATATAGAGTGTATAGTGGGCGGCAAGGAGAAACAATCTATGGTCAAGGTTGCTTGGATGCAAGAATATTCGCCCGATTAAAGCCCAGGGCTTACGGGGGGAGGAAAGAAGATGCGAGGTTGGGTTGAGCTTCTTATTCATCCTTTGGAAGACTAGACGGGGCCTAATGCGTCGTGGCTAACTCGAGCGCTCACTGCACTAAATGACTAGGAAACTGTCTTTCCGATGGCTGCTTCGGAGTAAAAAGTGTGAATTGAGAAGAAAGGTGCCGTTAAAGTCTCATCACTACAAGGCGCGGAGGAATAGCCCTGATGCCTGGCGTTTTGCCTTTACACATCAATCTGTCCTGCGAAACGACAGCAACATACTCGGACTTGCATTCCTGCGTTCAACAGGTATGCTCAACCGATATGTCGTACAAAATAGAAATGGGATCCCGCGAAATTAAGATACCCTGTGTGCTGGGTTGGTCTACAACTCCTTGTCCAGCAACTCCGCCACCGTAGGTTTAGTACTCTTACACCATACCTTTTCGACTCTCCTCATTCCCTCCGCTCCCTGTTCTATTCGCTAGATGCTGCTGATTGACATATATATGCAGGACAATGTCGTGTCAATAAAACGCTTAGCACTTACCATAGCATTTTGCGTAGCAATAGCCGTGCTCATCTGCAAAGACACTCACAAAATCGGGGACCCAAGATGCTCAAAGCAGTATAAAATGAAACTCAGGTGCGAGTACCCGTAGCTTGATAAATGTGGCGGGCGGCGGATCCGAAATCTAAGGTGCAGTCCAAGTAGGATGGTTGAAGCTTTATACACGACACCACAGGTTTAATCTTTTAGCGCAGCCAACCGCTTCACTAGGTAGAAGTTTATTCCCAAGGGGTATCGTGTATATATCCGCTGTGCATTCAGAGGAGAGACCAACGTACAGAATAATTTATGCTCAAATATAATATACAGCCGTCAAGTCGTCAAGTCGTACGTCAAAGCCAAAGTCAACACCCTGCGCAAAGTAAACATAAAATGTAGCGCTTCGAGATTGTAAGTGTGTACAAAAAGATGGAACAATGGGAGAATGCGAAAAAGAAAGGGGCGGCAAAATAAGGCTCACGCCTCACTGCAACCATCAGGATACCAAGACGGGTTGCGGCTCACACTAAGTGCGCGCCACTGCAAGGGCCTATAGTGCCCTGACAAAAGTCACGATAATGTAAAAATTTCGCCCCATTTCGCCACTCAACACATCAACTAAAAAAGCGCGTTTAACGCCTAATTTTAACTAAAATAGTTAGCCTTTTTAGGATTTAACTAACAATTAATTAATCTATTAAATAAATTACATTAATATTTTATATACCACTTATAAGCGCGTATAATCGCGATAATTTACCGTGGTATTAAATCTATTAACTTATTTAATAGGTTATCTTTAAGAAGCTCTTAGGCCTTAATTATAGCTTTATATAAGCGTTATTTACTAGTATTATTAAAGGTTATTTCTTTAAGCTTTAAATAATACTTTATAATATTATCTTTAATTACTTTTTATAGATTTTTAATAAGGTTTAAGTTAAGTAAATATATAAGTTAATTTATTAATTTAACGTTATATTTAATAGCTTAATTTCTTAATTAATCCTATATAATTAAAGCTATATATGTTAAAGTATTATCTTAAGCGAATATATAATTAGGTTTAATAATAATTAAAAGTTAATCTTAAAGGTATTTTAAGATTTAAGCGCTAATAACGTTATTATATTAGGAATTTAAGTCTTTTAATAATAGGTATAAAAAAGTTCTTTTATTATACGTAAATTTAACTTAAAATATCTAGGAATACCTTATAAGCTTATTTTAAGGCTATATATATTATAAAAGAAGCTATTTACCTTATAAATATTAATTAAAGCTATGATTTATTAATCTTTTTAACGTACTTTTTAATAAAAAATAAACTTTTACCTCTCTCTTTTTCTACGCTTAATTATACACTTATTTAAGAAGATCTAATATTATTAAAAGATAAGAGACTTATAAAGGTATTTTCATGTAAATTCTAGCCTTTTATAAGTTAACTTTAAAGTTAATTTAAGCTATTATAAGGCCTTTTAATATTAAATACCCTCTTTAATTAAAAATTAATTTAATATACGTATAAAATATTAAAGGTTAGCTTAATTTAAAATATCTTAATTTTAAATAAAAGGGTTATTTTAAATTAACTAAAAAATACGTCTTTTATCCCTTTCTTATAGCGTTAATAGCCTACTATTACGTGGTAAAGATTTAGCTAATATTTACTCGCGATAATAGCAATAAATACTATACGTGGTAGCTAACGTAACTCCTTTAAATTTAATGATCTCTTTTCCGGTTATACCTAAATTAAATGCTAAAATAATTCTAGCCCTCTTATAAGGGTTATATTTAATTCTAGGCGTTATTAGGTCCATTTTCATTGAGTTATGTAAAAAATAAAAAGAAGGTGTAAATGTAAGGTGACGCGACGAGGCGCGTTAGGCGCGTTCATTATCGTCACTTTTATCGCCCCACTGTAAATCGATGACGACACCCACCAAGACTTGCAAAGTAAACCAGACGCAACCGGTGGCTGGGTATAAATGACCAGTGAGAGCATCGTCAAATGAGCCGAAGCAGGCGTGACCTGCTTTCGAGCCCAGTCGCGTCACCACACTACGAGACCACCTGACCATTGTGGCGTCGTGATCTCGCCCTGAGCATTCGCAAGGTCATGTTGCACAATAAACCATAATTTCAAAGGAAATCATACTCACCTCGAGTCTAAAATCAGGTCTTCAGCCTCGTATTTTGTTTCTGCTGATAATAAATCTGAGACCCCTTTTTCGAAGACAACCGCGTGTAGGTGCGGGAAAAAAGAGGTCATGCAGTATGACATCACAAAGAGGAGCAAGAAACGGCGTCAAACGGAACACACGTGTGTGTAGAATAGTTCGAGGAAACACGGGTCGTTAGCGTCATAAGATACAGGATCAGGATATGTACAGTAAGTTTCACATATATACAGCAGGCTGGCCTCCCGGTGCTAGTCCATCCTTCTTCTCGCCTTCGGGTGTCTTCTGGAGAAGTCCTGTACAGGTTTTTGGATCTTGCTCAACGACTCCTCTGGACTCCTCCGCACTTCGCGTGCTGGAGATCCAGCTCCTCGATTTGCCAAGCAACACTTGGGTGATGGGGAACGCGGATATGAGGGCGCTTTTCTTGAATGCGAAATAACGGACCGGAACTCCATGTAAGATGCAGCAGCCGCTTCTGGTCGGGGGGTAGGGGTATCAGAATCTAGGGTATCGTACGCGGATGGTGGGTGAGCAAAGGAAAAGGTGAGATCGAGGCAGTTGAATTCGTCATCAGGGTATTGCGCAGTAGGAATATCCTCTTCTTCATCTGCAAAGTCAACAGCATCACCAGCGGTGTGCAACTGGTCGTCGATTACATCAATAGAACCTGCGCTCTCAACAGAGTCACACACCGATGTGACAGTCGTCTGACACTCATCTGATCGAGACTTCTCGTCGAAATCCTTTTCCAAGTATCGTCGTCGAATGAGTTGGGGTACAAGGTGTCCGGACTCGGAACCAGAAAATGACATGGATCGCGAGGGTGGGTTCGTCACGTAGTCGTTCGATTCTGCGTCTGATGGCGGTGATGATACAGATGGTTCCGATTGCGCATCCTCTGAATGTGGGGGTGACAAGGGTCCCTGAGGATGAGAGTTGTGGTGAGGTTTCTCTTCAATCGCGTCAGGTTCGGTGGTCATGGCAGGACCGTCTGGAAAGAGATAGTCGTCGGCCATAAAGGGGCAGGGAGCATCATCGACGCTGCTGGCCGCGGTGCTAATGGTGTCGGTTTCTGAAAAAGAAGCCGACGAAGTAGAGTGTGTATCGTGACGATCGAGATAGTCTTCGGGTAGATAGCTAGCAAAGTAGCGAATAATAGAGTCGTACGACTTGGTTCGGAACAGTTGCAAAGCATACTGCCACTGGTCGGTGGCCATAAGCGTCGGATTGGCAATGATTTCGACGGCCAGCGTCTCCAGAGACTCATTCAGCTCACGGAGTCGCATTCGCCGCCGATCAGCCATCATCCGGTGAAACTCATGGGTAGTCTCAGCGTCTCGAGAAATCTCGTAGACATCGTGGTGGAAAGCCTCGGGGTCTTGGAGAGTAAAGGAGAAGGTGTTGTACTGATCGTGGAGGCTAGTAAAGAGGTCATCTCTCTTCATGCCAAACTTCCAGGCCGGCCAGGCCCAAGTCGGATCTTCCATCACGGGCGGTGTGCGGGAAGACGACTGGCTGTCGTCGTCGGGGAAGGAGTCGACACAAGAAAGGGCGAACCCCGTCAAAGCAGCAGTAGGTTGAGGCCCAGTGTGCAATCGGCACATAGGCACATCTAGATCTTGGGACCAGTGCTCAAATCCATGGCGAACGAACGAATGTTGGCGATAGTTTGCAGTATTCAGAGCGGGCGAGTCGTGATTGTGTATCGTGGAGAAAGGGAGAAAGTTGGGAGATTTCCAGTATGGGTCGCCCTGGGCACCGTGACGAAAACACTCGAGCATCCATCTGGGGGACCACGTACTAGCAACTTGTCTCGAGGTCAGATTCACGAAAGCGGAAGCGTGTTGCAGTGGCGTGCATGGCGGCCTGAGGAAAGCGGAAGTCACGCCATTTCATTGGACGCCATGCCGGAGATGCATGCGACCGCTACTCTGTTGGACCAATTACAAAGAGACTGTTTCAGAGGACGGCCAATAGATTGCTAGTGGGTGGGTACTCGGGAGCAATCATAGGGCCAACCGGTGCCACATCGCAGCCCTCCAGTATGCACGAGCAGTGGGCTGACATGTAAGCACACTGTTCTCGACTTGTGGCTGTGAGGTGCTGTGGCTGATTTGAGGAAATGGAACAACCATCAGACGGAGTACGGAGTAATGTTGCGAGGACTCCGTACAGTGGTCTCTGCACTAACATTCGCTGTGCACTGGTCACCAGATGGGCTCACTTGGCTTGGGATATTTCCAGTAGAATATGCAGCGTACGTGTAAATATTGTATTCTTCAATGCTTACGACGCCTACGGAGTATGCTCGCCTCATTTTAAATATGTTGCTAGGGAATATCCGTAGGTGTGCACCATTTCGCACTACGAGCAAGTCGTGCCCCGCCTCGTGAGCGTTCCTGGCACAAGAGGCGCCCACACATCTTTTGAGTGTGCTAAGGTCCATTTTGTAACCGACCAGGATTCAGAAATCAAAGGGTACATAATTCCACTTAGAAATAACATGATGGTCAAGGTACCAGAAATTTCCGGAGTTAAAGAGCTACATCTTACTCCGTATTATCACAGCTGACCCTGCTATCAAAGAGGTAGCTCCGAGGTATCGCAGAAAAGTGGGGACCGTATACCTCACTTGGATGCACTCTCAAAGGGAAGGGATACAATATGTGCAAGTTTGCACCAGCACACATGACCAGGAAGAAAGCAGCGATATTTTTGTCCTCGAAGTTTGTAGCTGACCTTACGTACCTTAGGTACCTAGGCAGGTAGTTGCCACGGCCTATGTTGTCCAAACGGCTCGAACCTTGTTTACAGTTTGGCTTGAGGGGACTTGCCTGTGGTACGAGCTTCGTCCAAAATGCCAGTCCCTCAACTCGTATGAGCAGCAACAGTGTTGATCAACATCCGCCGGCTACGGGGCGTCCTCGGTACAATGCTTGTCCCCGGTTGTTTGGCATCAATGATGGACGGGAATGCTTCTCCCTATCAAAGAGTCTGAAGCACGACGAAGAAACATTATGACGGAAAATTAGCACATGCTGCTCCAGGTGCCACGCTGAACATATGCCCTTGGGCGCTTTGACGATGGCTCCGGCCAAAGACTGACGTCTCGTGGTGACGACGGAAGCGCAACGCCAGAAAAGCACGAGCCTGATGTCTTCGCCTCGTAGGATCGATGACTCTGCCTCCTGAGGCTGAGGCTGTACTCGTCTAGCCTATGAGAATGGGCAGATTCGGGCTGCAGCCCTGTCAGCAGGCCTCCGGCTCAATAGGCCTCTTCACCTGGGCACCTCACGTTCCCACGTCGGTGATTGTTGCCATGGTCTTCTGCGCTGCTCGAGACCATCCCGAGGTCATCAAAAGGCTGTCCCATTACCTCATTCAACCTCCCTGTTCCTGCATTTATGCCCATGCACGGCCAGCCATGTTTTTTGGTGTTTGGTTGACGATTCCTTCTTCATTTCTCACATTGTGCTCCGTATTCTGGCTTCTGTGTCACTGGTCTGCCAAAACATCAATTCCTTGCGCCCCTCGTCACTCGGCCAATCAGCTCGACTCGCCCGCGCTATTAGTCACCGCCAAACGAAATCCATCTGCGCGTCAAGCGTGCATCTGCTTGCCTCTGGCCTCCAGGCCCTGACGTGCTTTCTGCCTGGCCAGGCCCTACGAGGCCACCGGCTCGCCCGCACTGGAGCCGCTGGAAGCTTCCCGCCCCTCCCCCGCCGGTGCGGCTGCTGGGCGTCCCGTCTCCCAGGACGGTCCTTCCGCACCTGCCAACCTCGAGTCCCTCCAATCTCGTCTCAGTCGTCTCACCCGCAGCCCCATTGCTGCCTTCATAAATCGTCATTTTCCCAACGCTACATGGGCCTTCTCTCTTAGGCATCGCCAACAACCTCTTCTCATGGCGGCCGAGCACAGGCCCGAGACCGCCTCAGAGGAGGTCTCGGAAGAGCGCACCGAGCCCTTTTCTCAATCGGAGATTGATGCCCGCTTCAACCGCTTCGGCGTCGAGGAGACAAGCGCCGGTCCCAACGACGAGAATGTCTCATTAGATGACTTGCACGTCGACGACGACCATCACAAACAGGGCATCCGCATCCTCGTGCGGCCCCTCACAAAGCTGAACAGCACGCGATCCGTGAGCCCGGGAAACGATAACTGCCGCTGGCTTGCGCTTCGTGCCGAAGTTGCTTCGTCTGACCAGCCTGAGCACAAGGTGCTGGCTGTGACTCAGACTTCCAAAGATATAAAGTTTTCTGTCCGCATTCCAGGAGAAAGCCAAGACGACGCTCCGCGCCCACCTTTGTGGTGCGAGCTGTACTACGATCCTGCCAGTGACAAGGTCATCTTTCTGAACAGGTCTGATGTTCCCATCTCGTTGCACAAATTGTCGCAAACCGGTCTGGGGAGCCGGCCTCCAAGTGAGACTTACGTCATCAACCCGGGCCTCATCAATGCATTGCGACCCGGTACATGGCGCATAAAGGTTCGCGACATTGCCGTCTTGGACTTTCGCATTCTGGAAAAGCGACCTGTGACGTTGTACCAGGCCCGACCTGCGCTGCCTCATCAGTCATCGTCGCTCACCAGTTTTGCCAGCACTTCCAGTATGAAGAGGGCTTTGAGCCCCGATGAAAGTGAGAGGAGAGCCAAGCGTCGCATTTCAGATGCCTCTGGTCCGGCAGATGACGGAGTCATCATGTTTCTCCGTCCTGCAGCGGATCCACTGGTATTTCCTCTGCCCAACGGGAAAGAAAGCAAAGAGCTCTCTGCCACAACAGCTCATGCCCTCTTGGACGCCGAGAAAGGCGAAACTATTGCCGTGCCAGGCGTGTGTGAGCTTGACGAGTATTATCTAACTAAGCGGGACCCAATCGCCTGCACCTCCCAGTCCGCTGTTTTCATGGCGGATCACTCAAAGGTCCCCGATAACATTGTGACTGTAAAGGTCCTCAAGACGAGGATGGCCAACGGGAACGATAAGCCGTACGGTCACGAACGGAGCGTAATTCGTCAGGCAGATATGTGGTTGCGCGAAAGCCAGAGCCAAGAGGGCTTGCAACATGAGTCCATTGTTCGATACTATGGAGGAGACGCACGATATTTGTCGCTATATATGGAACACGTTGATGCCCCAGATCTCGCAGCCGCAAGCCGGTGGAGGAACAAACAGACGGATTTCTTCATGGGAACTCGAACTGACGCGATGCGAATTCTGCGTGACATTGCCAGCGCTCTTGGTTATATCCACGGCAGGCAATTGGTTCACAATGACATTAAACCAGCCAACATTTTGTATTCGCCCGAGCGAGGTGCCGTGCTTTGCGACTTTGGTCTCTCAACTCCGGCTGCCAATCCCCCGTCGGGCGGAGGCACGCCATATTATGTGCCCCCCGAATTCATTGGGACTAAAATGCGTGGTCCCTCTTCTGATGTCTGGGCTTTGGGCATCACCATGCTGTACGCCTTGCGCAAGATCTCGTTCCCAGACAGCAGGGCTAGGCGGCACCATCCGAAACCACTGTATTGGCAAATCGCAGCTATCAATAATCCCAACATGCCGCACAAATTCGGTAATGGCCAGTCTGCTGTACATCAGATGCGCACATGGCTGGGGGAAATATTCGAAGCACGAAAACATCTCAATCCCGGGGACCATCTAGAGCGTCTGGTAAAGGATATGTTGACGCCAAACCCAAACAACCGCATCACCATGAACAGAGTCTTGCAGGAGTTGTTGATTGATATTCCCGCCAAGGCTGGTTGATGTGTATCTGGAGTTTTGAATTGGTTTGGTTTCAAGACGTATTTCTCCTATTCTTTATTAACCCTTTTTGTGCAAGTGGTTTTTATTGTTGTTTTTGTTTTTGGCCGTGTCGCCTAAGCTTCATGACTACGACTGGGTGTGTGGGTTTTCATGTACACGAGTAATGATGGGTGAGTCAAGCCGCTTTGGTCTTGTTGGAACAAGCAAACCTGGCTAACAGATGTTTAGGATGTTGCAATGTTTGATGGCGAATTTCTATCCTTATATATACCCTTGACATTTTTTTCTATTTATTGTCCCTGCATATATATATATATAACATTTTGGCATTCTTGGCTCGTCTATGTAATACATATATAGCATCTCATGGCATCGCTGCATGGCATCGTTGGTGCCCATAGATAGTAGAAGCATCATCGTCTCATCATCGTTCCCGTCATCTAATCCCCCCCCAATGTCCTGCTTCCCGCAAACCCTCACAGTCCGATTGCAAACCCAGAAGCCAAGGCAACCGCCGTCACCAAAGCCATGACGTTGGCTCCCGTCAAAACACCAGCACTCTGCTTGCCGTCAGAAGTGCCATTTCCCGAAGAGTTGCCGGCGGAGGTGCCGTCGCCGCTCTTCTGCGCCGTCACGTTCTGCACAGTGATTCCCCCGGAGGTGGTGCAGTTGCCCGGGGCCTTGGCGTCCTTCTTGAACCGAATATCGGCGCAGTTGTACAGGGCGGAGCCGCTCGCCCCCGACGTGACGACCTGCAGCGACGCCAGCGCGCCGTCCTGCACGTCGACGGGCACGGGGAGTTTGTCGACGCACAGGGTTCCCTTGCCGGTGACGTTCCAGAACTGAGGGGTGAGCGAGACGTTGAAGTTGGTCGCGTTCTCGCCCAGCCCCAGGTTGACAAAGACGTAGGTCCAGGGGTGGTGCAGATCGAGGGCGAGGGATCCTCCCCCGACGGGCCAGTCTGTCACGTTGCCTGCCTTGTAGTCGACGCCGGCGCCTGTGTATTGTTAGTTGCATGTTTTGCCATTTCAGAGTGTTGAGCAGAGGCAGCTGCGTTGTGTATTGCGAGCCGGAATGTGTTGCCACAAGCTGACAGGCAGTAAGTAGTAGCAAAAGCGTGAAACACGGTCCGCAACAACTTGACGAAGATGAATGGTAATGGGGGATTGGTTTGCGTACATGGATAGCTCCATTGGCTGTATTTGGCTTCGTTCTCGGCGGCGAGCGTGTTTGCTCGCCACGGCGGGTATTTCAGGCCAAAGTGGGCTGCTGCGCCGTGGACAGCAGCCAGCGCCAGGACGAGCTTGGACAGCATCTTGTTCAATGACTGCGATGGGGAGGGAAACTTTTGGAGAGGGAAGGGAACGGAGTTGTTCTGGCGGAGGGCAGATTGTCTACGAAGGGGGGGGACGGCGTGACTTATACCTGCGACCTTCTCGGCTGGAACCAACACGCGGGGAGGGGCGCGCAAGTTTTTTTTTTTTTTTTTTTTTTTTTTTTTTTTTTTTTTTTTTTTTTTTTTTTTTTTTTTTTTTTTTTTTTTTTTTTCGGTTTATATATACTGGTACCGAGTACATGTGTAAAATGAACAATGAAAGCCACGATAGCTATTGGATTTGCTAGGCTTTCTTGCCAGGCCTTCCGCGGGGACGTGAGCGGATGTATGGAAGTGAAGATGTCTGGTGGACGGGGGTTCCAGGCCCGTGCTTGCTGGATTCGGGTTGGTTTAGAATGTGGCGTTGTGGCGGGGAAAAGAGCTGGTTAAGCTTGAATCGGCTTTCGCTTAGACGTGCCTTGTTTTGTCTCTTTTACGGGGAGCCTTATTGTTGAGTTTGCGGTCGTTGGATCCCGGATCTACACGTGAGAATCTCTTGGCTGGAACCTCTATTGAATCCATGTTCTCTGAGCACGGGAACGATGAGTAGCTGCTCAAGTACGCTGAACGCTTCTTTGCGTCTTTTTTTTTTTTTTGTTTTCTGGGAAGTTCCTGGAATTGGCGACTCGAGGCTAGTGGGAACGCGGCTGGGGAAAAGGGCACATCAGAGCGCTTGCGGAAAGAAAACTTGCTCAAATGCACGCAGATAATGGGAGGGACCTTGTGCTGCGCGACGGGCTCTGGTCTCCCCGCAGCTACGTACGAGAAACAACTTGTTTTCTCTTGGGGAAAGATGCATTTTCTGATTGCTGCGCGCATGGGGATTGGATGATTTGGTTCGAGGCATGATTTGAGGCTGGGATTGGGGGATGGTGAGCGTTTGGTGTGGCTGATGATCGGTGTATGAGTGCTTTTATATTTGGTCCTTGCGCGGCATGATGACGAGACTTGTCGGTATCACAGTCACGGCCTGTGAGACGTGTCATTTAGGAACGAGGATTGCCGGCCAAGTACGGCAGATTATTTGCAGAGGCTCAGAGTGACGAAGCCAGTCGGTTGCTTTGGGGTTGTTCAGATCCATCAACAGAGGTATCGGGTAGGTTTCCGTCTGGAGCATTCTTGCTTGGTTACTTGATCGGGCCGTGACACAAACATGGAAGAATATGCCGCGATGCTTGCCAAAAAAGAACCCACCCACCAGCCGTGTAGACTATTATAGTACAATATCGAAAAATACGCCGCACGATACACCGGCATCGTTACCTGACAATGACCCGGACTCTTGCTTCCCACCTGTGCATCTATGCTGTGTCGAGGTGCAACCCGTACATACCCAGCTGCCTTCAAAATGCAAGCCGCACACCAAAACGCCCATGTATCCGCCGACTACACAAGACTCTATAACCTGGCATCCGGCTTCGCCCTCTGCTCTGCCAACACCTCCTCCCTCATTCTAATCTCGACCTCGGACGGGCCCCCTCGCCCAAACTTGACCAACGCAACCCTCTCCCAGTCGCCGCCCCTATCACTGCCCTCCAGCTCGGGGCCGGGCTTATCCAGCGCGAGGACCACGCGGTTGTCCTCCTCTCTGGATAGCAAGTGATACGGGCTCATGACCTTGTCGGCCCATGAAATCGTCGCCGTGGGATGCTGCTTGCCCCTGTCCGTCTCCGCAGTCACCCTCCTCCTCAGGAACAAAACCAGCTTCTTCCGCTGCGCCGTGTAGTGCAGCGGCCCTTCTTCCAGGGCAGACGTCGACCCCGTCAGGAACCGAGTGAGCATCTTCATGAGGTACACCTGCGGCGGGAAGAGGATGATGGAACCTTCGGCGGCCTTGTCCAGCCACGACTGCGGCGGCGCGAACTGTGCGGCCGTGTGCTCGACGCCGCCGTCCGGGGTAGGCAGGAGAATCTCCGACGGCACCGATCTCTTGGATATGGGGAGCAGGTAGAGGTACATTTGCGTGGTGAAGCGCTTGGGCACATGGGTCGGCGTGATCCAGCGGGTGAAGGGGATCAGGCCGGCTGCAATCTCTCTCGTTAGCATTTTCTGTACAGGAAAACGGCGGCCGGTGGCGGGAGACAAACCTGTGTCGGCCACGGCGCCAATCGACTTTAGAAAGTCGCCAAACTTGACTTTGTTTCCGTGGACATTCTTCCTCGCCTCGTCCCTCTGTTCGGCGGACAGGCTCACCAGAGCGCCGTTCTTGGTCGCCAGCAGGATCCCCGTCTCCTCAAACGTCTCTCTTATAGCGCCCATTCTGTACGCCGGGCCGTCCCGGTGTCTCTCGGCGCTCTCGGGGCCGGGAATATCACCGTCGTCGGCATCGTGGAATGGATCTAGGTTCCCGCCTGGGAAGACATGCGCCGATGCAAATGACGTCGAGGTCTTTACCCGGTGCAGCAGCAATATCTCATTTGTTGGCGAGAGCAGAAGAACAGACGAGCTGGGACGGGGCTCTTGCACGTCTGCCTTGGAGCTGGCGTCTCGCATCTGAGAGGCCATTGTGAGAAGAAGTGAGGGCTTATGAGCCAACGGTGATGAGGTTGATAATATGGCGATGCCGCGTGTGAAGGGTATCGAATGGCTTGGGATGGTATGATGCGCCGCCAGTCGCCTCCACATGGGATGTAGTAACCAGGCCATGGATACCTGATGAAGTCGGGTCAAGGCATCTGATATGAGGGGGACCAAGATGGCGGGGGATCTCAATTGAGCCGAGGTCCGCTTGGGATGCGTACCTAGGTAGCCAAAAGTCTGGGGCTGTTGATCGGTTGATGGTGGTGGTGGTTTACTCCACGCAAACCAGAACGGAGCCCCGAATATCCACGCTTGTCTGGCAAAGAGTGGGAACCGAGGGACCGGAACCCCAGCTGCGCTAACAACTGCCGTAGCCGAGAAGACGGGAGGCACCAGCAGTTGAGGCACATGGAGCTACCAGAACCAGTCTCGAATATTAATGTCTGGTTCAAATTGGTCTATCATTTGCCAGTCGGCGGCATCTACTCCATACTCCAGAGCATAAAAGAACAGACCGTCTCTTTAGCCAATACCTAAACAAAATGTTGATTCTTCGTCCATGTCCCAAAGGCAGTCAATATCTCTTCCTCTCTTTTCCCCTCAAATTTACCTTCCACAAGCAGCAGATGCTTTTTGATTCACACCATTTCTTCAACTCAACAGGGTTGACTTCTTCATCGTATCCAACGCGACTGAGCTGTCCGCTGTTGAGCCAAGACGCCAAGTCCTCCAGCACAATTGGATCATACAGTAGAATCTTCTCGTGCCAAGATGGATTAGCAGGGTCGGTAGTACGTGGTGCAGTCGTGACAGCCTTGGTGATGTGCGTAAACAGACAGGCTTGGACGTCTGTAGGCGTCATTGTAAGAGAGAGCTCTGTATCGTTGTCAATAGACATGGCCAGGTCGACCTGACGCGGGGAAGAAAATGTTGAGCTTGGTGATGAATGTGGTGATGAATCCAAAGTATCTGCCAGCTCAGATTCCGAATCCGGTATCTCAATCACCTTCACGGCCTTCGCCTTCTTAGGAGTGGCATTACTCCCGGCTGTTCGCTTTCTCGTTGGCGTGGTAGTGCGTTTCGACACCGCTTGCTTGCCCGGTGTCGTCTGTGAATCCTTTCTTGGTCTTCCCCTAGGTTTTTTTGGTGTCTCAGGAGCTTGCGCAGATGGAGGGGGCTCCTGTGTCCGGCTGTCTTCTACCGAATCTTTCCTTGGCCGGCCGCGCGGCCGTTTCGTCGGGGAAATGACAGCAGCCGTGGAAAGCATCCGGATTCCCTGGCTGGCATCGCCGGTCTGCTGCCAGCATTGGTTTAAAAGAGCTATCATTGCCGAACGGCGCTTTACTGGCTTGAAGCCGTACCGAGATATCTCTTTTGACAGTTGCGCATCGGTAAAATGTTCGAATGTCGGTTGTGAATGATGGTTTGCAGCTCTTGGCGCCGTGCTCTCTTTGCTTACAAGTTCCGGTGAGCTTGTGACTTCTAAGGTGACTGATAGCTTTCCCGTCAGCTGTACGCTTGGGCCCATGCCACTAAGGGCATTTGAACTATTCGTTGCGGTATATGTCGCTCGTGACCCCGCGGTAGGGAAAATATCTGACAAATCGGCCACTGACTCATTCCCATTATCGCTACTTATCGTAGACCCAGAAGTATGAGATGGAGGTGGTTCGTCGTCGCCTTTAAAATATCCAAAGGGGTCCACGGAACCCGGCGTCTTTGGAAATTGCGGGCTGGCCTCAGTGAGATTGACCACTTCCACGTCGAACAGATCACCATCTGCATCTCTGGCTGCAGCATCCCAAAGCCTTGACCGACCTTCGGGTGGCTCGATAGCGTCGCTATTCAATGGAGTTGTGAAATCGACATAATCAAGCTGGTTTGAGTTCTTCATCGTAAGGTGCAGGTCTCTCAGAAACGTCGGCGACTGTTCTGTAGCTAACTGGCTAGAGGTTCCAAATACAAAGTCCTGCTTGGCAACTTGTCTTAGTGCAGTTTCAGGAGAGAACAGAACTGGCTTTGGCGGTTTCTGCTTTTTCTTCGCTTTCGACGGTCCTTTACGAGGCTTGGTATTTTTCGACGTCTTAGACAACGGCTTGGGTTTCGTAAGAGGTGATACATCTCGTACACCATCTGTAGGCTCAACTTGACCCGGATGTCTGTAGGCGGCTGTAGCGAGGCCGGTAATAGTTCTGGCCTTTTTCCGCATCGCCTTTGGTCTGGTGACGGACTTCCTGGTGGTCAGAAGGTCATCAGTTGACTCGGCCTCTGGAAATGCAGGCTTCATCTTCTGCACACTCGATGTATCACTCTGGTGTGCTGCAATCTCTTGAGTTGTAGCGTTGGCGCACATGTAAGCAGAAACAATGTTACCAAACGAATTAGCAGGATCATTCTCGTCAGTCGCATGTAGGTCGTCTTGTGATGGTGACGTGTCAGAATCAAGAATAACGGTTGATTTCTCCGTAGGAGGTGTCCAATCCTTTCTCCGAATCATTGCAGGCTCTAACAGCAATGGCTCTTCGGCATTGCATTTCGTGGTTTCTATTTGTTCCAATATTGGTGGATCTTGCGACGGAGTTGTCTCGCGGCTTCTTCTCTCTGATGTCATCTGATTTGAGACTAAATAGGGACTTTCCTTCTCCACAGAGGCACCGCGTGGGCTGGCATATTTTCCCGGAGTTTTGGGCTTGTACTTCTTCCAGGGTTGCCGTGAAGGTACCTCCTCGTCAACTAACTCGAATATTCCTGGGCTGGATGGATTGGCACTTCCTTTCGGTACATAGGACTTTCGTAGCGGTGATTCTTCTTCTGGTGCATGTTCTAGTGCGCATACAGGGGTATCAATATCATCCACCATAATCACTTTCTTAGGTGAAGTAGACGGGCTCAACTGATTGACCTCGGCGCGACGTGCAGCCTGCCATAAGTCTCGCGCACTCGTAAAGGTCGAGTCCGCATCGTTAGGAATAGGCACAGACTCGGTTCCGCCTCGTATGGCGGGTCGCTTCTGCTTTTGAGACAACATATCTTGCACGGTGGGCAAATCTGGCGATGAGGTCGGAACCATGTGCACGTGTCGCCTCGACCCCCGCGACGGAGACGACAAGAACACATCGGGAGATGCCATTGCCCCAGAGAAATGGGTCTGAGAGCGCAAAGCGCGTCTCAAGACCCGGCGGAGCAGCAGAATGTTGTCGGGTGATTATGCGACAGATACGATCTGAGGAAAGCTCTCCTGCCAGCATCGGGTGATCCTGCAACGCGTAAATTGGAGGTGGATACGGAACCAAAGATCTTAGCCGCTGACGAGGGGCAGGTCTCCACGAAAGCACCGCGTCATCAGGTGACCCATCACATGACGCACAGAAAGCCCTCCCCGCTCCACGAAATTATTGAGCCGTGTCAAATTTGTCTGGCCAACTCCAAGCGTTTTTTTGGCGACCACATCGACGTCGGACAACTCCTCAACTCAAGCCCAAGACACCCCCGTCACCACACAACCGACAACATGGAGAACGACCGTGGCGAGATCGTGGACCTGTACGTCGTCTTCGACTAGTTATTATCATAATCGCTGTCGATAGAATACGAATAAACTAACTTGGTCTTATAGCTACGTCCCCCGCAAGTGCTCTGCCACCAACCGCATCATCAAGGCCAAGGACCACGGCTCCGTCCAGATTAGCATCGCCAAGGTTGATGAGAACGGCCGTGCCATCACCGGCGAGAACCACGTCTACGCCCTCTGCGGCTTCGTCCGCGCCATGGGCGAGTCCGACGACTCCATGAACCGTCTTGCTCAGCGTGACGGTCTGTTGAAGAACGTCTGGAGCGCTCAGCGATAAACGCGCTTGGAACGACAAAGAAAATAAAAACTACAACACCACTGTTCTTATTTCGAGTCGAGCGGCGCGAGCGGGAGAGGGCTGGAACGAGGAGACGAGACAAAAATCTTTTATGGCAACATGACGATTCTAATTGGCATTCTCCAGGGCATTGGGTCGGCATGAAGGAATTTTTGCGTTGTGGATCTTAGAGTTGGCTGCATTTAGCACATCCAATTCAAAAAAAAGGCGTTTGGGCTCGATTCCGAGACAAGCTAAAATTCACAAGACACATACCTAACCCTTCGATTTTGGATGTCCCGACGTGATCTCTACATGTGACGATGAAATTCCCAATGTTTTACACACGAATCCCGGCTAGTAAAGTCTCCTCGGGCTGGCGCCTAGTCGCCGAACTTCTTTGGCCGAGGATTCTGGGGCTACTAGATAGTCTCCGTGCCGCAGATAAAACTCTGGCCTTCAAAAAGCTGTGGTGATAAAGCTTCGCGCCATAGTACAGATACGGGTCAGACATGCGCAAACACTTTAATGATGTCATTTTAGCCCGCCTTGAAATGAGCGCAAATCTTGACTCCGGTATTGATTTAATACACATAATGATCCGAGTCCCAACTCCCATCTTATTCTACATACCATTGGCGATTCCCTCTTTGTATGCGTCCAATGCTCTGTCTCTACAATCTTTATGATTAACAATTGGCTTCGGGTATCCCGCCTTCTTTGCCTTGCCGCCGGCTCCTCGACCATATGGCTCATGAATTTCTTTGCTGTCTAAATCTTGCAGTTCTGGGACCCATTTACGGATATACACCCCTTCCGGATCAAACTTCTCGCTCTGGAGAAGTGGGTTAAAGATTCGAAAGTATGGCTGAGGGTCAACGCCGACGCTAGCACTAAATCCCCAGCCGCCATTGTTGCTGGCAAAGTCGCCATCAATGAGATGCTCCATGAAGTATCGCTCGCCCTTGCGCCAATCAATGAGCAAATCTTTTGATAGGAATGAGGCAACGATCATTCGACAGCGATTATGCATGTAGCCATTGTGGTTGAGCTGTCGCATTGCAGCATCAACAATGGGAAACCCAGTACGACCCTCACACCAGGCGTTGAAGTGCTCCTCATTGTAAGACCAGGCAATGTTGGAGTATTCTGGCTTGTATGGCTTATTCATGCTAATGATTGTTAGGACTGCAATGTCAGCTTGCCGTCTGATGTGGGTATACTTACCATACGTAGGGCCAATGGACGAGAACATGTTTGTAAAAGTCACGCCAAGCGACCTCGCTTATCCAAACTCGAATACCTTCATTGCCGGCGTCTAGTCTCTTCGTCTTGTTTCTGTCCCTAGCTGTGCGTACGCACGTACGGCTGCTGATAGTTCCGCTAGCCAGATGCACCGACAGAGAGGACGTTCCGTCCTCTCCGGGAATGTTTCTGTTATTGCTATAGCCACCAACCTTTTCTTCACAGAATTTCTCCAGTCTCTCCTTAGCAGCACTCTCCCCAGCAGGCCACAGGGAATGGAATCTCCGTTTTTCCTCCTTTGTAAGCTGCTTGTTTGATGGTGCCTCTGGAACAGCGCATTCAAACAGGTCTTTAAACTGCTTCCTCGCCGTTCCGGGATTTTTATTTGGAGGATCAAATAATTCAAGCAATTCCAAATCGGCATGAATATGAGCAACCCATGATCGATACCATGGCGAATAGACAGCATACTGATTCCCAGAGCCACTTCGCAACTGCCCGGGCGGCACAACGCACGTGTCGTGAACGACTTCAAACGATTTACCGTTCTCTGCAAGATCGTGGACCAGGTTTGCTTCCCGGCGAAGCTCATCCACCTCATACTCCATGTTTGCAAACAAGTGTCGGCTTCCCCACTGCTCCATCAACTCTAATATTTTATCAGGGATCTGCTTCCTCCTCTCCACCGTTTCGATGTAGAGGGGGATATCCAAGTTTGCCAGATCCTTTTTCAATATTTCCAGAGTTCGTAGGATAAAGTCCACTCGCACGGGCGAGGTCAAGTGCGCTTCAAAGTCTTGTGGGCTGACAATGTACATGCAAATCAGGGGCACGGCAGCCTCCTTTGCCTTTTCGCTAGCCAGGGCAAGGGCTCTGTTGTCGTTGCACCGCAAATCTGTTTTGAACCAATGGACTACAGAATCCTTGGCTTCCACTTTCTTGCGTTGCTCCGCGGTATTACCCAGAGCAGAGATGAGGTCTTCTATGGGACGTGGAATTTCGTTGTAATTGTATGCGCGAGCTCGCGCATTGCTCATCTCTGGTGGATAGTATTTGCGAAGCACGATGCCATGCTTTTCAGCTTCTGCAGCTAAGGGATGGGGTTCGCGAAGGCCATTGGCAGTCCTTGACCTTTTGGCACTGTTGCCGTTGGTGTGGCCATGACTTGACGGCTTGCGTTTCGATGATTTTCGAGCCATGGTAGCGAAATTGTTACGGCAGCGAATACGGAGATGGAGGGATGCGGTACTCAGGTCTGTAGGATAGAGGTGCGCATGAATTGATCTTTGGCAAAACTGAAAGCTCGACACAAGTGACGTTGGTCTCATCTGGGTCATTAATCACATCTGCGCGGAGCGTGAAAGGGCGCGGGTCAAGGTGGAAGATGGAATAGCAGCAGGGTGAAAATGACTTGAGGGATCATCATCCATATGGTAAAACCACTCCCTCTGGGAGCTCGATCGCGTCGATGATGGCATGGCGTGGGAGTCGGCCGATGTGGAGCGCATGCAAAGGTTTGCGAAGATCGGGTTTGCAGCTCGCATCTTTCCATCTGCCGATCGAAACGTCCGGCAGCGCAGGTGTGCGATAGCCTACCCTGTATCGCGGAGCGTGTGTTGAGATTGGAGTTTTACATATGAATCAAATGAACCAAGTGAGGATGGAGAGTTTGAGAGTCTTGTATGACAGCGTGCATATTTCTTCCTGCCTCAGAATGTCGCCTCTCTTCTTGGAGATGTCGGTCAGTTAGCCCACATGCTCTCTGCCATACTCACCTCCATGAAAATAATTTGTCCGAATCAATCCAGAATAGCTCATTGTTCCGATGGCTGCACATGCCAACTGGTATTTTCCACGGGCGCTTGATTCACTGCTCTTAACAGCATGTTTGCCATGGTGGCCGTTTGAGGCTTCTTGACTGATATGACAGCTGTTGGTTACGGTGGCAGCTGGTGGCAGCTGCCCAATCAGGGAGCACGGGGGAATACATGACAGAACTGGCCCCGGAGCCCAACCAAAATAACCTGGATGGGGTTATGCACACATGGACCTGGGACAATGCGCTCGCTTTCGCTTCGAGAACAACAAGGTGCGGCTTCATCTCAAGACTGCTGCCGTGACGCGTTCCACAAATCCATGGGTATATATTAATCCCGAGCTGTTAGTTTAAGTCTCGCGAGCAGTGTCTAGCCCACTCACCACCGAATTTCCGAAACCCAAATTTGAGAAACAGCACCACTTGCCTCCTCTCCTTGGGAGCCGAGACACAATCCACCGATACAAGTGCCTTCCAGCGCATGGTGAACTGGGCCCGTGGCTTGTGTCAACTCCATCAAAGTAATACGAACACTGTTGCTCCTTGAACTGTCCGGGTTTGCCTTTGCCTCTGCGCGTGTCAGCTTTTGGTCCGGACCCTGCTCCCCGTCTGTAACAGGCCTTCCGAGTTTTCGCCAAACACGCCCCTACATCCATTCGTTCTGTGTAATATACGGTTTTTCCTTGTAAGTCTCACTTAGAATTCTGGCTTGTATTCGCCGAGACTCGGCCTTGTGGACTTTTTCAGTCTTACCTCGCTATAGATCTCAGCCCAGTGGTGGTCTCAAAGCCTATACTTCCGTCACGGATGCATAAGCTGCTGCCATATTCAGTCATCTGAACCAAGACGAATCGGTTATTTGGTACGGTTATGGCTTCAGGGACGCCAGGGATGCTAGGGACGTGGCGATTTCTGCCCCTGCCGGTATCATCCAGCATTCCCGTGCTTTTGGTGTCCTTTGAGACAGGTCCGTCCTCGTATGTGATCCGTGTCAGTGACATGGCAAATATATGGATGGAAAGCTTGGATAGGAGAGCCATTTGCATGAGAGGTTGGAGCGAGGACACGAGCATCGATCCCAGTGACACCGCTGAGAACATGACCACATTCCTATCCTGTCTGAGGAAGGCACTAGATCCAAACCAGGCTGGACACGACGAAACAAGCCTTACATTAGCTCCAACAGACTCTTCGGGCGCCGCAGACGATGGTATTACGTTGAAGATAACTTGTCCGCTCCCAGGGTTCCATGCATTGAAGTGGCCGATACATCTAAAAAAACAATCACCATCCGCAGTTGCAACCAATCTGGTCTTGCCGCTGATCCAAGCACATTTTGATAAAAAACACGAGATACAGTCATTAACCCAGAAGATTGCAGAAAAGGATGTTGTGGTCACCAAGCTGTCGGACAAGTTAGAAGCAATGGGAACTGGACTGGAGCATGTGTTTACAGCGTTATCTGGCCGAAAAAAGGTTTCACGTGCCGCCGCTGAGGACCGGGTTAAAGGCCTGGCGTCGTTCAACGAGCAGCGGTGGAAGAAGGAGCTTGAATCAGATGATGTCGGCCCAAGCTCTGTGAATGACCTTATACAGCACGTGTTTGGTGATACTGGATTAGAGTTTCGTTCTACACTCGAGGTGGACAAGTCTCCTGAACTAGACAAATGGTGGCATGGTTTCCCACCGACAAGCCAAAGATTCCAAGGAAAGGAACCCAAAGGTCCAGCTTCAAAGAGGCAGACCGTCACGCTTCCACAACAACCATTAAACTGCGATGATGATGATGACTTTCAGGTTCAGTCTACTCCTCCACACTTGCGGTCAGCGAAGAAGAGTGCAGCCGTTAGTAATGTACTACCAGCAGATGACGCCTCTACGGATGGGGAAGAAGACTCCTTCCTAGATGGCAATCCACCATCCGCTCTGTCTGACCGTACACGACAACCTGAAACTTCTAAGCCTGGAAGCTCCCGGCTAGGAGCTATCGGAGGCAAGAAGCAGCCGGCACCACCTCGGCCCCCGTCACCGCCGCCAAGACGTAAGGCCGCAAATCCGCCGGTGGATGATGAAGAGACGGCATCCGAGGCATCAGATGATGATGCCACGGCTTCAGTGCCTGCCTCATCGCCCATTCCATCACCCGTTCAACGTCCTAGCAAGACGGCGGGCCTTGGCAGAATTGGTGGAGGAGCAATGAATTCACGCCCTCTCCACAGCGTGAGTAGGCCAGAGGCAAGTCCACCTCCCGTAGCCAGGGACACAGGGCCTAGGAAGCTTGGCACGATTGGTGGCAAGGCATCCAAGGTAGAAAAGCAAGATGAGGATGCAGAACGTGGTCGGCTGGCAACTCGCAGAACAAACTCCCCAAAAGATGATCAGCCACGAGAGACGTCAGAGGAACGAGCAGATCGTAAAAGAGAGGAGCTAAAACGCGAACTTGAGAGAAAAGCTGCGGCTGGCCCAGCAAAGAAAAAAAGACGATTCTAGCTGGAGAGATTAACTCCTGTCGTGTAACGAAGGTTATGTTGTGAGTACTTCGAGCCCCATGGCCATATGCTGCTGCAATTAGGCGATGGATAGTGGTCTGGCAATCAGTACGGGAAGTATTATATACGCACAATAAGATTGGATATTCTCGCATCTGGTTTATACACTTGTATTTACAGGACTAATCGTTCCGTATGTATCTTGGCCATGGTTTCAAATTCAGAGATGCTAATGCATTTAAGCCTGCCAACACCGAGGTCGATCATCTTTGGCTAGAACACAGCCATATTAGGACTTTGATATAATGCTGGCATCTTTCAAGGCACAATCATCTGTCACTTTTATGTTTCTGATATGTATTTACAAAGGGCTACAAACCGAAACATCAAGGGTCACCTTGCTTCAGGATACTTTGATGTCAATCGGAAGGTCGCCTCGTGGTTATCAGATACCTGAATCAGACCTCTTTCTTAGCAAGCCAGGGGCGCTGTTGAACGTTTTCATCCGTCATCATCAATGTCATCAATGAAGCATCCGGCCTGACAAGATGAGATGCAGAAGAGCGACTCGAGTACACCGCTGTGTAAGATAAAGGAGTGACCGGCTGTGTCACGATATGCCCCTTTTGCCGCCTACAATCTACCACATTCTGCAAAGCTGAGGAGCAATGGTGAATCTTTTGGTTTTTTTTTTTCCTTTTCATTTTTGTTTCCACGACAATCGTCGCAAGGTACACCACCTGTTACGTTGAACGCGAAGACTTGCGACGCGTAATGGACCCCTGATAATATCGAAACACAGTAAGCATGACAACCAGCCAGCCAGCCGAGTCCACGTGCCTGGACGACGAAAGACCCAGCCTTCACGCGTTCTGCATGAGACTATCTAAAGCCGTTCTGGTTCAATCCTCAAGAAAGCCTCTGTGGCAGCGGGCGCCACAACTCGAGTGGCATCAGGACTACTTGTATCTGACGCCCGCTGTCTTTACATCCTTGCCAGTCCTAGATCTTGCAGCGCGATCAGGGATACAGGCATTTCGCACCATGCCACAAACAGAGATGGCTGCTTATCCTGCATTCAAGATCGAGCAATTCATTCGCTAGTGTGGGAGTGCAGAAATGCTGTGACAAGGGGGGCCACGACTGACAGAGCACATTATAACTACCAAAGTATCCCAGCCGCGCGCTCATTTTCTGCTCCCCTTTCCTTCCAGTTTGCCGCTTCTATGGATGATTCGACCAACTCTCTTCGTGTTTCAAGCGTCTACTCTGGCGTCGAGCGCACAATTACGACAACAGTGATGTGGCGAACTGGGCTGAAGAGAGAACAAAGCTAGAATGCCTTGCAAGGGATGCTCCGGCTTGGGGACGGAAACTTGATCCGGCGTCCCCGAGTTCATGCATAAAAGGTTCTAGAGCCGAAAGCGATGCGAAATGGAGCCGTTGATTCCACGCGATCGACACGAGGCTGAATTCCTTCAACGAAAGCTACCGAGATGTGCATTAGCGAATTGGACCTCCCAAATCAACAAACCGAGCCACGCGAATGAAAACTCAGAGTACGCCTTTTCTTGGACCTGGCAGTTTACATGCTGGCAGGACCGCTACTGTATTGGCACATGAGATTGTGATTCGACGAGGCCTATTCCTTCACTCGGCCCCTGAATCTCCCGTCTCCGGCACGCAGCAAACGGGAAACCCCTCACAATTGAGGATTCCGAGTTCCATCGACGAGCCGCCAGTCCACTAGACCAATCAATATTGGTTCAAATTGGCCAAGTTTAAACGACGGCAGCTTCATTCCCCAAAAAAACGGGAGCAGGGTCTAAATTAGCTCCTGGAAATTGGCCCCCGCTGCTGGTCAGGTTTTCGTACACTTGCAGTTGCGAATATCTTGTTGCTGCTCAACCTCCCCAAGCCACGCATTGTGGACCGTCCACCGTATACGTAATCGGTATAATGGACGACAAACGAATCCGGTAGTAAGTTGGCTTGGACCTCTGGTGCTCAGAAGACGTGAGGCGTATAGGCGCAGATACAATAATGTGGCAGGGGGCGTATAACAGCGCCCTATGACACCACCTGGAAAACTTGCCGCTGTGGCCGATGCATATTCCTAGACAAAAAAAAAAAAAAAAAAAAAAATAAGCAAAAAAAAAAAAAAAAAAAAAAAAAAAAAAAAAAAAAAAAAAAAAAAACAAATTAGACTGGATGAACCAACAGGTTCGTGTTCGTGCGGTGAGTGTCTTATGATGCGCATTGTTCCGCTCCAACACCACACACACACACACATGATTGAGGGGTTACAAACCAGCCATGAATCATCTCTTAATTCAATGGGCATTGGGGGCCGATGCATATTCCAAAAAAAAAAAAAAAAAAAAAAAACAAATTAGACTGGATGAACCAACAGGTTCGTGTTCGTGCGGTGAGTGTCTTATGATGCGCATTGTTCCGCTCCAACACCACACACACACACACATGATTGAGGGGTTACAAACCAGCCATGAATCATCTCTTAATTCAATGGGCATTCCCATTAATGGCATTTATAAAAATTGAACAAGATAATGACAAATTCCTCTAGCACTTGTTTCCAAGGATGACGTTTATTCTTTCCTGAAATGTGCGACAGAGACCTCCACAACGGCTTTTGTATGTTGGCTGTTGGGTTGGGAATCAGCATCGGCCACATCTTCAAGGGAGCGCATATTCAACTCGGCTAGAACTCCTAGCAAGATTTGTGCAGTGTGCCTCACGTTACACTCATGCGCCGCAAGGTTTGAGCATGACGCGATTTCAACAACGGCTTCATTCACGTCAGTTCCCATTTCGACTCCCTTGAAGCAGCCCAGTCCTACAAGGCCAACACACCTTCAGCCTCTTGTCCGTGATGAGAAACTAGGAACACATGCTGAAGAAGACACGGCATGAAGCAAGAATGGTTTGATTTGTACACGGGCACAGAGTTGCAACAGGAGCAAGGCTACTTGGTGTGCACGGAGTCGTCGGTACGCAGCTCTGTGTTCAGACGTCTGTGGTGGACAACGGTTCGGACATGTCGCAACATGCGCAATCTAAGACATGTCAAGGCCCTTTTTCTCATGCGACCTCATCCAAAGTACGGAGTAGATACCGTAGCACGACTCAGTGAAAAAAGGGAAGAGGGGGGGCAGAAAAAAAAGGAGGGGGGGGGGGGGGGGGGGGGGGGCCGCACGGAACCACAACCATGTCATACCATGTTGATGCACATGTGTCTTTCAGTCCATACAGTGGCTCGATACCATACCAATAAGATGACTAGATTTTTTTTTTTTCAAGCCTCGTGCTGGATGTTCAACAGATAAGGGGCAAGACGCATTCTGGCGCCATGACTAGTTGCAGCCACGCCTAACAGAGTCCTTGTCCACGCAACGAACGTTGCGGAAACAAGACGAGACTAGAACCGAAAACGAAGGAAACCTGACTGAACGCGCGCAGGGGGGGCAAAGGAGGGCAACACCGAGAAGACGCCCTTCCCACTTCCCACGCCTTGTCAGATATCTGCGCAACACGTACTCCGTCCGCCGTACCGGTGCCCGCCAGGAGCTCTGGTACGCCGGGCCACGCAACGCGGGACAAGATGAGGTCGCACAGGCACCCTCTGATCCCATCCAAACCGTGCTCAAAAGGAGATCTGAGGTGGTCCCCAAGCCGGTGACACCAGGACGCGGGAAGGACCCATGGTCCCCGGACCATTCATCCTGGCTAGTCGGCGCCCATGTAGCTCCGTACGCAGCCAGGACGCCCTCCAATGGAGATAATAACAAGCCCGTGATCCGTGTGCCCGCCTTACGCTCTTCTCCCTGGGGTAATTTACCAGAGAGAAAAAGGGTT